CGTCCGGCAAGTTCTCCGAGCCGCGCCTGGTCGTGGCGGCGAGAACCTCCAGACGCGCCCCAACCCCTCCGAAACGACGACGACGACGGCGGCAGCGGCGGCGGGAAGTCGACGGTGCGCGCCGGCGAGCCGCGCGGGGACTCCCCCCCACGTGCAATGCCCAGAGGGGGGTCATCACCGGGGGCTCGCCGCCCCAAACGGAGGTGGTGATCTCCCACAGTCGGTCTCGACCCCCCGAAAGCACACGGGACTCTTCCGACGGCAGCGTGACCCCAGAACGCCCGAGGACATGCGGGTTGCACAGGTCGGGACAGGCAGGGCACGAGGGTACACTCGATCTGGCATGGTCGACCTACCAATCAAGTTCCGACTGTATCTTGGGGGCCCAGCCCGGTGCCCTGACAGAACGCGCGGTGGCTTCGAAATCCCGCGTGACCTCACCGCATGGTCGGACACCGCACGGTTTTGGGGTCTTGGTAGGCCCCAGCCTCCCGAGACGTCGTCGGAGAACGTCCCAAAACTCTACGGCCACATCGACATCCCCATTGACTCACCCGACTGTGAGGTCACCGCGCCGTGGGGGACATCCGACCTACTCCGACCTCCGACGCCGTGCAAACAAAAAACGTGGTGCCCTGGAGATCTGAACCTCTCCCAAGACCGGCTTCCCATCCCGAGCCGTGTTGTTGACGGCCCCAGACCTGGCCAGGGCCGCTGGAGGCCGAAAATAGCGAAACGCTCCCCGCCCCCCGACGTGATTTTTCGCGGCGGGAAAGGAAGTTTCAGTCTGGTTTTCGGGGCATAGCTCAGGCCTCCGGCGCCTGTTCTGGACGATCCGGGCACCCCTGGAACGGCTCTCGGGGAGGCGCAGCTGCTGGAAAGCATCTGGAGGCTGGGAAGCCGCCGAAAACCACCGAAAACGTCCGAAAACCTTGAACCCATCGGGGGTCGATGCATCCCCTCCTCTGAGCCTCGCCACACCTCGCGTTCCCCCTGAGACAGCCCCTCCAACGCGCTGACATTCGCAGGGGGATGAAACAGTAATGGAGGGGGATGGGTGAATGGATCAGGGGGAACACAATGATGAGAAATGACGAAGAGGAGGCGGAGGAAGAGGAGGAAGAGGAGGAGGAGGAGGAGGAGGAAGAGGAGGAGGAGGCGGAGGCCAACTGTTGCAAACTTTCAAAACGAATGTGTGCGGCGCTCAAGCGAGAACCACATTCTGAAAAAGGAAGCGTCCTCCATCCGTGAGGCTGCTGCGAACTTTTAAAACGAATGTGCGCGGCGCTAAGGCGAGAGCCACATGTTGAAAATGACCTGCCCTCCAATCGTGAAGCTGTTGCAAACTTTTAGAACAAACGTGCGCGGCACTGGAGCGGGAGCCACATATTGAATAGGATCGGCTCTCCGTCTATGAAACTGTTGCGAACTTTCAAAACGGATGTGCACGGAGCTAAGGCGAGAGCCGCATTTTGAAAAGGAGCCGCCCTCAGTCTCTGAAGCTGTTTCAATCTTCACGCTTCAGGATCATAAAGGGTGAGGAAGTCTCCAACGAAATGCCCAGCTTGCCCTGCCGACACGTCTGAGGATGCGACAGGGAGGAGTTGCTCACAAGGACATGGAGGGGGAGGAAGAGGAGGAGGAGGAGGAGGAGGAGGAGGAGGAGGAGGAGGAGGAGGGGGAGGAGGAGGAGGAGGAGGAGGAGGAGGAGGAGGAGGACCAGTGTAAACCCAAGACTCATCAGCGATGTTGAGATACACCCTCCCGCCAAGATCCCTCATCATAGGCTCCTACAGAATATCATTCACACTGGAGGAATTACGCCGTTGGGGGAGAACCGTGTGAACATCTTGAAGCGTGTCCAAACTTCATTCCCCGAACTTCAGCGTTCCGAGGTAAAATGCCTGCTACATGTTGGCAAACCTGAACTGTGCCTGGGACTTCAACACCACGAATCAACTTAACTGTTGCGCCCTGCAAATCCTGAACGGTTCCCCCCATATATTTTTGGTACATCAGCCATGGCAACCAATGGAACTCTTGCGGGTATTTGAACCGGATGTGCGCGGCGCTACAGCGAGAACCACATTTTGAAAACGACTCGCCCTCAATCCGTGAAGCTCTGGCAACATTTTAACGCGAAGGTGTGCGGCGCAAAAAAGAAAACCACATTTTGAAATCGAGCCGCCCTCAGTCCGGTGAGCTCTTGCACATGTTTAACACGAATGTGGGCGCTAAAAAATGGAAGCCACATGTTGAAAACCAACCACCCTCAATCCGTGAAGCTCTTGAAACTTGTTATGACGAGTGTATGTGGCGCTAAGGCGAGAACCACATTTTGAAAACGACCCGCCCTCAATCTGAGTCTTTGCCTTGCAAAGTTTTAACACGAAGGTGCGCGGCGCTAGAGCGAGAACCTTATTTTGGAAACGACCCGTCCTCAATCCGTGAAGCTCTTGCAAACTTTAGCACGAAGGTGCGCAACGCTAAGGCGAAAACCACAGTTTGAAATTTATCCGGGCGAAGGACCCAACCATATGCATTTGTGGGTACCACAATTGTGAATATCGTTTTCGGTGGAGCTCCCTATGGGGCCACGAAGCGCTGCCCTGGTTGGGGGGGGACGCATGCGGGCGGTAGCACTGGGGCCGTCGGTGGAGCTCCCTATGGGGCTACGAAGCGTTGTACTGGGTGGGTGAAAATGCCAAATTGGGCGTGTGGGATGCATGCGGGCGGTCCCACTGGGGGCTTCGGTGGAGCTCCCTATGGGGCCACGAAGCGCTGTACTGGGTGGGTGAAAATGTCAAGTTGGGTTTCCGGGGCGCATGCGGACGGTCCCACTGGGGGCTTCGGTTGAGCTCCTATTGGGGCCACGAGGCGCTGCACCCGGTGGGTGAAAATGCCAAGTTGGGTGCGGGACGCATGCGGACGGTCTCCATGGGGGCTTCGGTGAAGGTCCCGATGGGGCCACGAAGCGCAGTACTGGGTGGGTGAAACTGTCAAATTGGGTGGGGGGGCGCATGTGGGCGGTCCCACTGGGGGCTTCGGTGGAGCTCCCCAGTGGGCCACGAAACGCTGTACTGGGTGGGTGAAGATGTCGAATTGCGTGTGCGGGACGCATGCGAGCGGTCCCACTCGGGGCTTCGGTGGAGCTCTCTATGGGGCCACGACGCGCTGTACACGGTGGGTGGAAATGCTAAATTGGGCGTGCGGGACGCATGCGGACAGTCCCACTGGCCAGGAAACGCTGTACTGGGTGTGGCAGACGCACGTGGGCACCCCTACTGGGGCTTCCGATGGAGCTCCCTATGGGGCCACGGAGCGCTGTACTGGGTGTGGCGGACGCATGTGGCCACTCCCACTGGAAGCTTCGGTGGAGCTCCCTATGGGGCCACGAGGCGCTGTACTGGGTGTGGCGGACGCATGTGGCCACCCCCACTGGGGCCTTGGGTGGGGCTCCCTATGGGGCCACGAAGCGCTGTACTGCGTGTGGCGGACGCATGTGGCCAACCCACTGGGGCCTTAGGTGGAGCTCCCTATGGGGCCACGAAGCGCTGTACTGGGTGTGGCGGACGCATGTGGCCACCCTCACTGGGGCGTTCGGTGGAGCTCCCTATGAGGGGCTGGGGCCTTGGGTCGAGCTCCCTATGGGGCCACGAAGCGTTGTACTGGGTGTGGCGGACGCATGTGGCCACCCCCACTGAGCCTTACGTGGAGCTCCCTATGAGGCAACGAAGCGCTGTACCGTGTGTGTGTGTGTGTGTGTGTGTGTGTGTGTGTGTGGCGGACGCATGTGGCCACCCCCACTGGGGCCTTGGGTGGGGCTCCCTATGGGGCCACGAAGCGCTGTACTGCGTGTGGCGGACGCATGTGGCCAACCCACTGGGGCCTTACGTGGAGCTCCCTATGGGGTCACGAAGCGCTGTACTGGGTGTGGCGGACGCATGTGGCCACTCCCACTGGGGGCTTCGGTGGAGCTCCCTATGGGGCCACGAGGCGCTGTACTGGGTGTGGCGGACGCATGTGGCCACCCCCACTGGGGCCTTGGGTGGGGCTCCCTATGGGGCCACGAAAACCTGTGCTGAGTGTGGCGGGCGCATGTGGCCACCCCCACTGGGGCCTTGGATGGAGCTCCCTATGGGGCCACGAAGCGCTGTCCTGGGTGTGGCGGACGCATGTGCCCCCCCCCCCCCCACACTGGGGCCTTACGTGGAGCTCCCTATGGGGCCACGAAGCGCTGTACTGGGTGTGGCGGACGCATGTGGTACCCCGACTGGGGGGGGGGGGGCACGGGAGGAGGAGACGCGGGGACCGTTCCTTCAAAACGAAGACCAAACACCACATATGGTTGGGAACTGACCACCCTCAATCCGTGAAGCTCTTGAAGAGTGTTCAAACGAGTGTACGCGGCGCTATAGCGAGAACAACATTTTGAAAACAACCCGCCTCCAATCCGTGAGGCTCTTGCAGATATTGAGGCGCGGCGCTAAAACGAGAGCCACACGCTGAAAACCTGACGCCTTCAATCCGTGAAGCTCTTGCGAACTTTTAGAACGAATGTTCGCGGCGCTAAGGCGAGGGCCACATGTTGAAAACCACCCTCCATCTGTGAAACTGTTGCCAATTTCTAAGCATCAAGGTCAGACATGGTAAGGACATCTCAAGCGAAACGCCCCGCCCGCCCTTTCGACCGGCCTCGGGGTGCGACAGGGAGGAGTTATCTATAAGGAAAAGGAATGGAAGAAGAGGGGAGGAGGAGGAGGAGGAGGAGGAGGAGGAGGAGGAGGAGGAGGAGGAGGAGGAGGAGGAGGAGGCAGGAGGAGGAGGAGAGAGGAGGAGGAGGGAGGAGGAAGGAGGGAGGGAGGAGGAGGAGGAGGAGGAGGAAGGAGGGAGGAGGAAGAGAACGAGGCCACCCTGGCTACATTCTCCCCGAGCCGCCAAGAGGAACCCCCGACAGCCCGCCGTTGCGCCGTGCCAGGCCGCCCGCCCCCCCCAACGGCCTGGTCCGCCGCCGCGTGGCCCCCTCCGTCGCCCGCGGCCTTGCCGCGGGCGCCGCTCGCGGCGGGCGTCCTTCGCGCGGTCGCTCGGTGCCCTGCTCTCCGCCGCGGCTCTTGCTCGACCTCCGCTCTTCAGCCCCCCCTCGTCCTTCTCCTCCTCCTGCTCATGCCCCCCCCCTCGTCCTCCTTCAAATCCTCTTCCCCCGCCCCTCCTCCGCCTCGTCGTCGTCGTCGTCCTCCTCCTCCTCCTCATCCTCCTCCTCCTCCTCCTCCTCCTCCTCCTCCCCCTCCCCCTCCTCCTCCTCCTCCTCCTCTTCCTCCTCCTCCTCCTTATCCTCCTCCTCCTCCTCCTTCTCTTTGCCGCGGCAGAAGCAAGCCCAGGTCGCCTAACTCGGGGCGGCCCCGTCGTTATCCTACCCCCTCTTCAGCCCTTCGTCGTCCTCGTCCTCCTTCCCCCTCCTTCGTCTTCTCGGGCGCGCGCTAACATGGATCACGGATCCGTGGATCTGGCGAATGGGCGCCCGATCCACGGATCGGGGAAACTATCCCCCAACACATGAAGCAACGCTCCTGGTTTGGCGACGGAGATTGCCGACTCTGTACTGGAACGGGACCCGTCGCTAATCCACACTCATTAACCCATGTCTGTGCTTCCGCGGGCCTCCTCTTCTTCCTGATCATCCTTCCCATCACCCTCCTCGAACTCGTCGTCGTCTGGGGGAACATCGACAGACCGACACCGCTACTCTCTAGACCTCTCCAAGGGCGCGTTCTGACTGGGACTTCGAGGCGAACTCGGCCGTGGCGACGAGGGCTTTCCAGTACGAGCAGCGGTATCAATGTCTTTCCTCCCCCGGGAGTGAGGGAGGGGAGGGAGCCCCTGGTGGTGCTTGGGTCATAACTCGGGCTTCTGACGGGCGCCAAGGGCGACTCGGGTACCGCCCGGAACGCTCTCGGCGAGGCGCAGCCGCTGGAGGGCATCCTGAGGTAGGAAAGCCGTCGAGAAGCGACGGAAACGTCCTAGCGTCTCCTGTGAACCTCTCTCGGCATCGTCATTCGTTCCTCCTTCGAAAGACGCTCCACTCAGGAAGAGGAGAGGGAACGATGAGGAGGAGGACGTAGATGATGATGATGAGGAGGACATAGATGATGATGATGATGATGATGATGATGACGATGATGATGATGATGATGATGATGATGATGATGATGATGATGATGATGATGATGATGATGATGATGATGATGATGATGATGATGATGATGATGAGGATGATGAGGAGAGGAGGAGGAGGAGAAGAAAGAGGAGGAGGAGGAGAAAGAGGAGGAGAGGAAAAAGGAGAAGGAGGAGGAGGAGGGGGAGTAGTAGTAGTAGTAGTGAGTTAGTAGTAGTAGTAGTAGTAGTAGGTAGTAGTAGTAGTAAGTAGTAGCAGTAGCAGTAGCAGTAGCAGTAGCAGTAGCAGCAGCAGCAGCAGCAGCAGCAGCAGCAGCAGCGCATAGTAGTAGTAGTAGTAGTAGTAGTAGTAGTAGTAGTATAGTAGTAGTAGTAGTAGTAGTAGTAGTAGTAGTAGTAGTAGTAGTAGTAGTAAGTAGTAGTAGTAGTAGTAGTAGTAGTAGTAGTAGTAGTAGTAGTAGTAGTAGTAGTAGTAGTAGTAGTAGTAGTAGTAGTAGTAGTAGTAGTAGTAGTAGTAGTAGTAGTAGTAGTAGTAGTAGGAGGTGGAAGAGAAAGAGCTCTTCGAGCTCTTCGGTCGGTGACTTCGTCACAAAGGTGGAGGAGAAAGAGGAGGAGGAGGAGGAAGAGGAGGAGAAGGAGGAGGAGAAGGAGGACGGGGAGTAGTAGGAGGAGGAGGAGGAGGTGGAGGAGGAGGATCAGTAGGAGGAGGAGGAGGATCAGGAGGAGGAGGAGGTGGATCAGGAGCAGAAGGAGGAAGAGGAGAAGGAAGAGGAGGATGAGGAGGAGGACGCAGTGGAGGAGAAGGAGGATGATGATGAGGAGGAGAAAGATGAGGGGGACGATGAGGAGTAGGACATAGAGGTAGAGGAGGATGAGGAGGAGGAGGAGTAGGAGGAGGAGTGGTAGCAAGAGTTGTTGGAGGTTGAACCGGAGTCCCAAGACGAAGTCCTGCCAACAACTACCCAAACCGCTTCTGGGCTTGACGCGTTCATTCCTTCTTTTTGTAAGCCTCTGGCCAAACCCCTGAGCCAATTCTCCTGAAATGCTCCTGACGGGTCAAGGTGGCTTCGCCACTGTACGCCCCCCCGAGGCCAGACTGCCTCTGAGAACAAGAGATCCCGCAGGAGGCACGAGTCTAAATATTCAAATCTGGATGACATGTCATGCTGTGGGTAGGATGAGCAAGCCCCAGCGAGGTGTATCGTGTACCCTGGAGGGAGCGCACGCAGGGAGGCAGTCGAGCGCCACAGGACGAACACGCGGTGACCTGCGCCAGAGCCTGGCACGGGCAGCCGACGCGGACCCGTGGCAACGCCGACATCGGCGCCCAGAATCGTAAAGTGCATTATTCTTATTCTTATTCTTATTCTTATTCTGATTCTTCTTCTTCTTCTTATTATTATTATTATTATTAGTATTAGTATTACTACTATTATTATGATGATGATGATTATTATTACTAGTAGTAGTATCATTTTTCGTATTATTATTATTATCATTATCATAATTATTATTATGACTATTCGTATTATTATTACTATCGTTATATATATATGTATATATATATATATAATTTGCTTTCGCCTGCGGTGGCTCCCTTCATTTGCACTCCTGGGAGTCTGAATACCACGGGCCTTCAACTCGCCATCGCTCGGACGTCCATTCCCCGTGTTTTTTTCGGTTTCGTGTGTGGTTTTTTCGCCAAATGGTCAAGGATGCTCCTCGATGGTCCTCGCCGAAAGAAAAATGCCCACGTCCGAGCGATGCCAAGTCGAGGGCGAAGCTGGACGAGAGCGCAGCGGCTCGCAGAGCCGCGGCCCCTGCCCGCGTGGCTCAGGAGGGGGGCCCCCCCTCCGCAAAAGGCCGCGCCCAGGTGGGAGCGAGAGCAGCTCGATGGAGTGCCTTCGGCAGGCAGGCCAGAGAACCGTCGTGGGCACCGCTTGTCTGTCCAGCCGCGTGGGCCTGCACCTCGGGCTCCTGCCCTGTCTCCCTAGTTAAAGCTGTGCGCAGCCCGCCCAGCTCTTGGCGGAAGAGGTTCGCTCTTGCCCCGCAGACCAAAAAACCGTCCAGCCGCGCGGCCGAGGGGATGTTGGCACGGTGGCCACGCGAACAGCAACGAAACGGACGGCCTCGGGCCGTCGTGCTTCGGAGCGAAGCGGCCTCGAGCCGGCCTGCTCCTTCGCCCTGCCCGTGCACCGGCCGCACGGCGCAACCGAGAATCCGAACCCGGGGGCCGTTGCCCAACTCTTGGGCCACGCTCGCTGGACAGCTCGCCGGTGCTAGGCGCCAGTGCATACACGTTCCTTCGGGTGTCTGGTGAGCTCGAGGCACAGCTCCTTGCGCGCAGCACGGGGCCGTATGCTGGCTGGCTGGGGGGCCCCATCGGTGATCTAGACGCGGGCCGTCCTGCTGCTCTCCCCGCGCCCTCGCTCGCACGTTCGGTACATGGACCCTTGCGAGCCGCAGTAATGTGTTGCAATTTCCCGCCTGAAGCTGTAAAGGTGGAAGCCATGCGCCTCAGCCTTGATATCTTTGAAGTAACTATTGGACACTCGTCGCAACCCATAATCGCTCACTGCAGCGAGCCGGCCGCCAGGAGGCAAACTCCACACATGTTGCGCGAGCAGTTGGGCCACTAGAGAGGGTCGTAGATGCTGACCGTGTCAGGCGGCCCATTTTTGGTCAAGGGGAGGGGGGCCACAGCAATCGAGAGGCCGAAAGCCCCGGCCGTGCAAAACATGCAGTGCCGGGCGAGCGCGGAAGCGCAAGCTGCGCCGGGGATTGAGTTTGTTGGGGGCTCTCTGCTCTTCCACGCCTTCAGCATGAGCCAACCCCCTTGCAAACACTCCTTTAATGCTGGAGCCCAGGGCTTGCACTGCGCTGATGATGTCGCCGACGAGGCCAGACGTGTCGCCGTCCTCCCAGGGAAACGTGATGTACACCACAAGGGTCTCATCAACTGCATGCGGCGACTGGGGAAGCCTCTATCCGTGGAGGCGGAAGAACTCGTGCGCGTGGGCATGGTCGGCTGACCATCCTGCTGGCAACGCGTCCAGCGTGCACGGAGACGGCGTGTAGTCCGGCGGCTTGGCGAGCAGCGCGAAGTTCGCCTCGAGATCCCTCGGGAGCTTCTCTGCTCCCGCCAGCGCTGGACGATCTCTCGCAAAACTCCATGGGGGGTCTCTCGCGGGAGCTTGAAGCAGCGCGGTGACTGTGAGTGGCGATGTTGCCGCGCGTAGAGCATCACGCCGCGCGAGCTCAAGGCCCTGCGCCCTCCTGCTTCCTTCTCCAAGAGACTCGCGAGTGTGGCCGCCGGTGTGCCCCGTCGGCCGCTCGAACTCCTCCGCGGTGAGGCCCCTCGGTCGGCTACTTGCCGTGTCCGCGGCGCACTTCGCTTCGCCTCCTTCTTGAGCGGCATCTGGAAGGGGACGCCGCCTGGCAAGATGCTGGCGGTGTCCAGGCTGAGGGCCTCGCCAAGAAGACGGCCTGCTGGCGGCAAGCGAAGGAGCCCCGCCAGCCACGCAGCAACGGCGCGCCGCGCGCCGCGCTCGCCAAGACGGAGCCCCGGGAGCAGAAGAGCCGGGTGAAAAGGACGCTGGCGAGGGCGGAGACGTCGACAATGCATGGCGAAGCACCAGTTGCGTCGGAGATGCCCCGCCTCGACCAACGCTGACGGCGCAACAGTGCGCGCGCTCAGGAGTGACCGCAACTGGAGCGCCTCGCGCGCCCAGAGGGGGTTGTTCGGCTGGGTCTGGACGAAGACCAGGAAGTGCAGCCCCGCGTAAGTCTCGCCGCAAATGCGACCAGCGAGGTCCGCCCGCAGCTCACGTGTGACGCTCCACCCCTCGTCGACCCCCGCATTGGACCTGGTAATTTGCGGGGGGTCGCCCGCGGAGGACATGATGCGTAGGCTGCGATATCGAGGCCTGCAAGACCACGCGCAGCTCGCATCCCAGCTGCCGCGCTCCACAGCGACATGAGCAGGTGGCGGCCCTGGTGGGAAGGTCGTAGGCGCCTCTCGTCGCCCAGGGCCTCTCAGATAATCTCGCCAGCGCACCTGAAGGCATGCTCGGCGCCAGCGGGCGTCGAGCTCACTGCCTCGCATGCGCCGCCGGCGAACTCCGACGCGTCGAAGGCGATGGGCCTGGGGTCGACGGCCGCCCGAATATTGACCGCGCAGCTTGGCAACAAGCACGCCGCCGTCAACAGCTCATCAACGGCCTCCTCACCGAGCGGGAAAAGGTCCGCGCGCCCGACCTCGGGGAAGCAAGCGCTGAGGGCCGACAGCACTGGGCGCGGCCACGTGGCGACATGGCCGAGGTGGTCAAGCGTGGCCTCTAGCGGCGGGCGACTGACCTTTGGCCGCGAGGCCGCGTAGACAATGCGGTACAAGACGAAGCATGGGCGCTCGGCGCAGGCCCCTGCACCCCCATCTCGCCATCCCACAGCGGCCCGAGCGAGACGGCCACTGTCTCCCTAACGACCCCCTTGCCCTCGGCCATGGCGACGCCGTGCCGCCCCCGCGCCTGCCGGAGAGGATCTGCTCCGCGGACGGCGCCCCGCGGCGCCGCCTGAGCTTGGCGGGTGATCCGATCGCGAACTGGTCCCAATTGCCGAGGTACACGTGGAACGATGATTGCAGCCAGCGAGCAGGGTTCAGCGGAAGGGAGCTGCTGCCGCGACGTTCGCGGCCCGCAAGCCCGGAACCCAGCGGCGGGGGCGCCTTGGTTAGGAAGCGCCCTGTCGCCTGCGTGGCCTTGACCGCGAGCGGCCAGCCCATAGGGCATGCAATCGCGGCAACGTGCGTGAGGTCCTCGGTGTCCAACCCCGCGCTCATGCCTGGCAGGCGCATTTCAAGCGTAATATGGAACCTGTTTCGTCGTCGGAGTTGACCCCGAGGACCTGCTCGCCGAGCAAGACCACCGAGGCCCGCTGGCGCGGAATCGGGACGTCGGGCACCTCCTCGAGGTGGGGCTCCATGTGCGAGTTCTTCGGGGTGAGGTTCACGATGGGGCGGGGGGCGGGGCCTCGCGGCGTCGCCGCGCCCCTCGGACGCACGACTCCAGACGCCCCGTTGAAACGAACATCTCCGATCGGGCGGAAAACCTTGCCCTCGGGGGTCGCGCGGGCCCCGGCCCGGCGGGGGATCTCCGCGTCGGTCTCCCTCCAGTCGCCGTCGGCCGCGCGCGCCCGGAGCGCGCCGGGGGTCGGAGAGGCCGCTCTGCAGCGGGCTTGGCGACGAGGCCCGGGTCGCGCAGCCGCGCGGCGACCTCGCGCGGCGCGGCGCGGTGAAGATGGACTCGGCCGACCGCTCCTTCGGGAGGTGAGCCTTGGACAATCGTGCGACCAGCTTCTCCCCGACCGCCGACTTAGGCGGGGGCGGGTGTGCGTCGCTCCTGCAGCCGCCCCAAGACTGATCGTCGTGGGGCGGAAGCTCGGTATTCAGCTGTGCGCTCGCCGGCAGGAAAAGCAACGTAACTTGGGCAACTGTCCTAAGCGAGTCGGCCTCACAGAGGCCGCCTGCTCGCTGTTTCATCGTGCTGTTCAATGCTGCCGCAAGCTTTGGGTAGGTCAGCTCAGCTCTCAGCCGCCGCTTCCAATGCTCGCCCAAACTCTCGACTCAGCACCTGCCGGTCGCGCGGGCGCACGGGGCGATGGAGACGACAGCAAGTGCTCGAGGGCGCCCGCAGGGCACTGCTGCTCGGGCACGCAATCGCGCGCCAATCGCCGACCGCGCGCGCGCGCGGTCCGTGCTTCACTAGCAGGTGGTTGGGTGAGCACCCTCAGGGCGGCCTCTACCGAGAGCCCCGGGGCGCCTACTGCTGCTGGCGGGCCCCCTGCCAGGGGCGCCGGCGCTGGGCGAAGTGGCCCGCGCCCATCTGCTGCCTCGAGGGCGACCTCCCAGCGCCGTCGGAGTGGCGATCGGCCAGCGGCGGCCCCGGGGCGGCCACAGCTGGCGTAGAGAGGGGCGCTGGCGTAGACGGGGAAATGGCCGCCGCGGGCGTCGTAGCGGCAGCGCCCAGGTGCGCCCCCATGCTCCCTCCCTCGGCGTTCGGTGTGCTTCGCCGTCCTGCCGCCCTTGAGCTTCCGCCCCGTCTCCTCGTTTTGTGCGCCGAGGTCGCTTCGGCGCGGCTGGTGAGCTGCGTCTCCCCCGTCGGGGTCAGCTCGAACCAGCGGGCCGCCGACCAATCCTCGTCGACGAGCGGCCATTCAAGCGCCGTGAACCGCTGGGTGGAGACACCGAGCGCGCGCGCGAAACCTTCCTCGCAGGAAGGTATCTGCCGCGAGAGACGGCGTCTCCGTCTCCCGCGAATTCCGCGGGCCGGTGCTTCTGCGCGGGTGCTCGTGGAACAACGCCTGGTGGACGTGCGCTCGGACGATCGGGCGGTGCGCTGCCTCTCGGCTATCGGGGGCTGCAAGGGTGCCGCGGCCTCTGGCCATGCGCTGCAGCGTCTCGCCGCTGAGTTTTCCAGGCGTTCTGCGCCGCGCTCGAAAGATGCCGATGGGCTTCGGCTTGCCGCTTCCTGGGCCGCCCTCCTCTCCCCCCGACCCTCAGGAGTCGTCGTGCCCGACCCTCTTGAAGAGTCGGTTGACGTCTTTGTGGCTGAGGGGCTCGTCGCTGTCGTCGCGACCCCAGTCGATGGAGCCGTCCTCCTGCGCGTGGGCCGCGTTTGCCCTCTAGGCCAGGATGTCGACGACCTTGTGTTTCTTCCCAGGCGGGGGGTCGTTCGCAACCCGGGCGTCGTCGAGCCACCTCTGGCTGCGGAAGCCCTTGTTGTCTCCTGCAAAACGCGCGCCGTCCCAATCTGTGCTCGTGCAGGAGGAGGCGCGGGAAGAGGAGACACATAAAAACCCTCATTCAGACTCAAGTTCCCGCCGCCTCCGTTCGCTCTCGTGCCGACCTTCCTCCTTCTTCTCTTCGTCGGGTCAGCGCCCCCTATGTCAGCAACAACGTTGGCCCTGATGGGCCAACGCTCCACCGTCCGTGCGGCAGTGTCGCTGTCCTTGATGCGGGAGCTGATGAGGAGGGCGGTCACCGACTCTACCTTGCGCGAGCCCGTGCTGAACAGGAACTCGATCTGAACCCGCAATTCTCCGCGTTCTTCATTTGGCGAAGCATGCTTCTGATTCTCCCGTCCGTCGTGCAACATCTGATTGTCCGTGTGTAAACAACGGGCGTGGGTGCCAGACGGAGGGCCATCCAGGGAGCGCGCAGCCCGCCCCGAGGAACACTCTGAACCACCTCAGGTGACGCTCCTGAAATCGTTCTCGGAAGGTTCGCCTGCAACGCGCTACCAACAACGCAGCGAGCCCGATGCCAACCATCCAAAACCGAACCCATGGAACCCGCTCCTCCACCGGCATCTCCTGCCATGGCGATTGGCCGCTGATCGCGGCCGTGTACGAGCGCGCCGTTCTGCAGCCCGTCGTTGACAAACCCGTGATTAAACGCGACGGGCCCGATGCCAACCCACCGACACCACGAGTCCCTGAAATCCGCTCCACGATTGACATTTTCTGCAATGACGACTGGCTGCTGGTTGCACGAGCACCCCGTCCTGCAGGTCGCACGAGCGCGCCGTCCTGCAGCCCGTCGCGCAAAACAATTCCTCTTCCTCTGGTGGTCCAGGCACCGCCGTCCACGACCGAGGTATGGGGCCCTTGAACCAGAAGCCTGGCTCGATCTCGTTATCCGCCGTGGTCGTCGGGGACCTCTCGTCCGACCCATCGTGGATTGAGTGGCCCGTGTTGCATTCATGTCGCCATGTGCGATGATATGCGTTGTTCTTAAATTTTTTTTTAGGGGGGGATTGATGGTGGTCGTATATTATTCATCTGGGGCCCACGTTGTTGATCTCCGTCCTGGTGGCGAAGTTAGCTCTTTTTTAACGTGGCCAAGAGCTGCCTGCAGCAACAGAAACAAGCAGTTCCGACAGCCTCCCTCCGCGTGGTAGTTTCTCGAGATGCTCGAGCAGCGGCAGCGACGGGATTGCATCGACGCCCCGACATAAACCGCCGGCATCATAGTACATCTCAGCCCTCTTCCACATAAGCTCCTCGGACGTGCGCTCGACGTCCTGGAAGAAGAGCCTGGTTGAGTTGAGGGCCGAGATGCCTGAGTAGCCTGCTGCTGGGAATTGCTATTCCGTTTCGTCGTTGATGGCCCGCTGTGCTGGCGACCTGGGGTCCCAGCCTCTCTCCAACAGAAGAATCATGACTGCTGGCGTGGGGCCCCTGGTCTACCGCGACCATTGATTAGGTGGGGGGCGTCGTAGATTTCCAGCAACTTCCCCCATGCTCTGTGGATTCTCGGACGCGTCGCTGGTCTCCCGAACCTCTGCTGGAGCCGCGGGCACAGGTAGTCATGTGGCCGCTTAACCCGTGGGTCCAGCCCTGGAGTTTTGATGGCCGTCGTGTTAGTCAAATGTTTTCTGTGGCCGCTAGGCCCCATCGCAGCTGCGAGGCTACCTTTTTAAAATGCATGAGACGTGCTCCGAACGTGCCGTGTATCTCGCGACCGTAGCCCCCCCCCCCGCAAGCGCGCCGCAACGTTCCGAGCGTGAGGTGGGCGATTGCTGCCGGGGTGATCGTGCGAAGCGAGTTTTCTTGCATGCGTCTGGCCGTGTTTCGCCGCTCGCTTGACCCTCCTTCTCCTTGCAGTTCGCCGCCCCCCTCCCTGGTCGACGCCGAGGTGAGATCCTTGCAGTAGTGTGCGTATGGCGAAACCTGTGGGTCGACGCGTTTGGAAG